TTACGACGACGAACTGCAGTCAGGTCGAGACCCCGATGAGGACGACGAGCATGCAGATGAGCTTCCCTGAGACGGTTTCTGACAGTTTGTCCAGAAATTCTTTGGTTATGCAAACCGATTGTTGCAGCAGCTGTCCGGGTGGCTGGTCTCAGACGATCTTGGAGGTGAAGATGCTGGATGTGGAGGTCCTGGGCTGGTGTGGTTACACGTGGTCTGCGGTTGTGAGGCCGGTTGGATGTACTGCCAAATTCTCTGAAACGCCTTTGGAGACGGCGTATGGTAGAGAAATGAACATTCAATTCATGAGCAACAGCTCTGGTGGACATTCCTGCACGCTCCCTCAAAACTTGCGACATCTGTGGCATTGTGCTGTGTGATAAAACTTCAGTGTATATTATAAAAAGCTTTTTGTTAAATGTCATTTGTTCATGTTTTGTCTTGCCTGGGGCACAAGTGAGCCAGAACTGCTTCCGTTGCCCCTTCAAAACAAAAGGTACACGACAACCTTGAGTGGAACAGTGAGATTAAAAAGTAAGTGGACCGAACCAATCAAAACACGGTGAAGTCTGTTGACCAACGTGAATGCCATGAAAGCGCCACTGCAGTGAACCCGTTTCGATAAGCTCTTGTGTTGCCTTTCTACACACTCTCTCAATGGGCTGTGCCATTGGTTAATATATTTCCTATCAGACCTCTGTTGCACCTCCTGCTCTTAGCTGCACATCAGCCGCTGTACCCCGTCAGGTCAGGATTTGCAGAAGGCTTAGTCTTGCTGTGAAAGAAATGCATTACATCTTTCTTTGTCCTCTTTTTCCCTCCTCACATGGTCTGACCCGTTCAGAGAGAGGGCAATGTGGTGCTCCTGCGCGCTTCGGCCAGAGCTTCTGCCCCAACTCGCCACGGCAGCTCAGCTGATTTTGCGTTACGTGTCATACAAGAAACAGATCAGCTTCCCCCACAGCGGTGCAATTACACCCAATAAACATCTTCACTGTCAGAATACAAACCCTTCAAATGCTCCCTCATAGGCATGAAACTCAAACAAAACCCTCAAATCAAACCCCCGACCCTTGCATTTTGGATGTGGAATAGATTAGGCCTTCGAAAATCACAAAAAAAACACACCTGCATGCCAAGAATGCACATCCATTAAGGTCACAGATGCATCTCTGCCCCGGAGGTCCAACAACCGCACAACTTTTTCAAACATCTCTGGGAGTAAAACCACACTCGACTTCCGTTCTCCTGCAACGGTTTTATATTTAAAACAAAAGTCCGTCAAAGCGATCGCCCCCCTAAAACAAACTTTTCGTGGCTCCGTGACCCACTTATTCCCTTGGCCATAGCTCAACGTGGATCGCGCAGATGCTGCAAGATTAAATGCAGCCATACAGCCACTGGAACTGCAACAACACTCACTCTTCCAGATGAGTGAGCAGATTGGCCCAACTCCTCACGTTAGGCTTAATATACTGAAGCAGAGGCACCAGTCATCCCTGTCTGCGCCGCAGCGATTTACTCACTGCGATGCTACTTTATTTAGACAATAACGGGCCAGAAAATGTGCATCAACACACATCAAACTGTGATAAGTGCAAACAGTCTGCGCATCCCAAGGAGTGCTATCTAAACCGAGCTGGCTTTAAATAGGAACAAGCGCAGACTAGAAAGTGTGAAAGTGAAAAAAAACAACAAAGAAGGAATAAAAGCAAGGGCGCGTAGCCCACAGTTGTTCAGCTGTTGACGTGACCTGGATGGCAGCGAAAGGGATGAGCAGCCGTCACTGCGAGACAGAAGAGACAGTGTATGCGGCGTGTGTGTGAGGAAGGGATGGAGAGAAAGCTTAGAATCAGATCCCAGTGTCAGCGTATCTTAGCAACCGTCTCTGTCTCCCAGGTGACAGGGACTAACATCACTTCCTGTCTGTGTGAGAATGTGTGTCTGTATACTAAAAGGTCTGCACGCGAAAAAGCATACAAAAACGTGCACGCCAGTAAAAACGGTCGACTGCTCTCTGACCAGAGGCTGTTTAATTCTCCTGAATGTCAGCACTTGGTAACTCACATTGTGTGCCCATGTTCCCATTACTGGTGCGATGGATTCAGAACACACATTCTTAATGTGACAGATATGTAGTAATGTCACATGGCGCTTCATAATTAATGCCTTAGGGTACTCTGAAAGAATAAGCATGATGGGATAGTCATGTTCGGTCATTAAAAGTGTTTGTTCAGCACACAAGATGGTTAATCAGAACGATTCAGTGTCAGATTATGCATATACGACCGCACAGATCCAAAGTATCTCTGAATATGTGTGGATTGTAGTCATACATTGTGTCTGTGTCCAGCCTGATTACGTGTTATGCCAAGGAAAGTGTGTCCAAGTGCTGCCATCTGGTAGAACTACTTGGCACAGAGGTCCACTGTATGGTTCCATGACATATTGGAGTGGTTAATTTTAACGCTGTGACACCATTTGGCAGAATCGAGCGTTTTGCAACCTATCATTCAGTCTATTTAAGTCACTCATCCACTGCTATCACAGCACTACCAGGTTGACACACAAACGAATACTTTGCCTTAAAGGAACAGTCCACCAGAAAATTTAAACTCTGTCATCATTTGCTCATCCTGATCCAAAATTTGTATGACTTCAAAAGAAAAGAAGATGTATTGAAAAATGTTGGTGACTAAACATATTTGGTTCCCATTGACTTCCAGTGTAAGGACAAAAAATACAACGGAAGTTAATGCGAACTGAAACTGTTTGGTTATCAACACTTATCAAAGTATCGTTTTTTTTGGGTGCTCGACAGAAGAAACCAAATACATACAGGTTTGGAATGACTTGAGTGTGAGAAAATGATGGCAATTTTTATTTATGTGGGTGGATTATCACTTTAAGGAAAACCTCAAACACAAAAATTGCTTGAGAAAATTAACTTTATTCGTTTTCATAAAACAACATACTAGATTTCAAAAGACAAATTAAGAAAAAGTAAAAGCGATAGAAAGTAAAACTTTCATAAAAATATAATAGTAAACGGATTCGTGTGATTAATCTTGAGGCGAGAGGTGTAGAGTGATGAAACGCCTTGCTCTTCGGTCCGTCTGTATGTACAATCAAGTTACCGCTCTCATGATACGGTGATAGGTTTGTGTGTAAATGCATCAACGAATATGCGAGTATGAAAATAAACTCCTGATCTCACTCTAAACACCTCTAACCTTCCCCTATGCACCTGCTTCTAACAAAAAGTAAAAAGAACAGAGCTTAGATGACTCCTGTATTCTGTAATGAAACCTCTGAAGCAAAGAATGATGGGTAAAGCAGTCCTTAGATAAGATCCATAAGAATTTCATCCTCCATAATGCTTGACACCGGAGGCATCCCAGGATTCTGTGCGACTGGACCCCGTGGACCTGTAGGGATCATCAGTGGACCTGTGGGAAAATAAAACTTATCGCGTAAATGTATCCAAGCGGTTTAAAAAAAGATTAAACATAAATAGCAGTACAAGCCACAGCAAATAAATGAAATCTCTTACACAATTAACGAGGTCACAGATGTGATAAAAATAAATTGTGCTAATGATACTGTACTGGAAATTAAGCGCTACCTTGGTGAGGCTGCCTCCACTGAGGCTGCATCTGAGCGCCCCCTCCTGGTGCAGGATGGACCATCTGCTGGATAGGATGCATTCCCTGCATGCCCTGCATCCCACCCTGCTGCAGAGAGAGATCATGGAATATAAAAGCAAGCCGAACTGTGAACAGCACTTTTCATTCCATTGACTTCCATTTTTACAGTATGAATGCGAATGCAGGAGACAGGAAATGCAAGCTCATGCGAATTTTGCTGCGTTTCAAAGTTCAGGTTTGGTGAACTCTTGACCTGTGAATTCATATCACCTGAAGACGTGCGAACCATAGATTACTGATGCATCACAATGTGACCTCTTATCTGAATGAAAAGAATGCAAACTTTAAATATGCAGGATTGCAGTAAAGTGGAGTAGACTGCATATTTTTATGTATCATGTTTAATTATTTGTTGAATTATGTTAAGATGCTGCAGTGTGTGGCGTCATATTACAATCTTTGCCGCATCTGTAGAAATTTCACATGCTCAAGTTTTAGTCTGACCGCAGCTTAAAGGGTTAGTTCACCCAAAAACTGAAAATTCTGTCATTAATTACTCGCCCTCATGTCGTTCCAAACCTGTAAGACCTCCGTTCATCTTTGGAACACTCTTCTCTTTTGTCTCAGTCTTCGACGCACGTTCATGAGAGTACCACGACACGTGTGTGTGTGTGTGTGTGTGTGTGTGGTGCTGCTGATGCAGGACTCAGATGCGCCGCGGCTTGTTTGCAAGCAGAGGAATGCACACGCATGCGACGTGGTACTGTCGTGAACTAGGGTTTGGCGAAGTCTACCAAATTGGCATCAGACAATGTCTATAGTGAAACATCGCGATGGATGGGAGCAGGGTTAGGGGAGTGCCAGAAGCACGAATCCGTACTCGGAAAGGCATGGAAAAAAAATAACGCGTTCTATGATTGCGGGAGAGGGGGTGGAGGAAGGAATCACGATGCTGGCTCAACATTGTGATGTCTGTCAGCCATCGGCAATGGACGATGGCATCCGAAACCTATTGTGAATGTGCATCGAAGACTGACACGGAAGAGAAGAATTGTTGAATAAAGTTGTTCTTTTTGTTTTCTTTGCACACAAAAAGTATTCTCGTAGCTTCATAAAATTAAGGTTGAACCACTGATGTCACATGGACTATTTTAATGATGTCCTTACTACCTTTCTGGGCCTTGAATGTGGTAGTTATATTGCTGTCTATGCAGGGTCAGAAAGCTCTCAGATTTCATCCAAATTCAAACTATCAACTATTCAATATCTTAATTTGTGTTCCAAAGTTGAACAGAGCTATTATGGGTTTGGAACAACATGAGGGTAATTAATTACACAATTTTCATTTTGGGGTGAACTATTCCTTTAAGGAAGTCCTATAGAAGGGCTTCATGTGCTATTTGCTGCACACACTTACAGGTTGTTGGCTGAGGAGGAGACTGCGGAGTTGGGGGTTTGCGCCTGGGTTTGGGAGGCGCAGCATGCCACCAGGAGGCTGGGCTTGAGCTTGGGCCACCTGATTGGGCGGAGCACCTGTGACCGGCGGCTGCTGATTACCTGTTATGGCTGCTCTCAGCTAATGAAAATCAAAACCACAGTGATGAAGATAGAAAGTAAGTGGACATGAAAAGGCTGCTGTAAAACACTGTATTACATAAGTGCTAATTCTGTGTGCGAGTCTCACAGGAGAGAACCACGAATACAGAGCCACTGTAACTGTGTTAAAGGTATTAAAAGGGACATATTCCACACTTTGTAGTATTCTTCCCAGAAGTCCACTTATAATACATGTCAAGGCTTCTCACATCAAATACAGTCGTAACTTAGTTTTACATAACCATTTTCCACTCTTTTTAGTCTCAGCCCATGGACCAATAGTCACACAGATATTCAGAGTTTAGTTTGACACAGTTAGGAAAAAGTAAACTAGATATTCACAAGCAGAATTGTTTATTTTATAGATGGGAACCATAGAAAAAAAATGTATGATTCCGGGCTATTTAAAGATGTATTTTTAGAGGCAGATTAAATGCAGTAACTATGTATTAAATAATACAAAACAATGTAGTAACATATTTCATGCATTAATTTATTATTTTTTATAAAAAAATAAACTTACAAATTAATTTGCTTTTAAATAAACATCATAAGAACAAACAGTTTTTGAAAATCTCTACAGCCTCAGATAAAACATCATAAAACATACACTTGTAACACTGTATGTTTTTCATTTTATTTAAAAGATCCAACTCAAAAGACTCACTGATTAGGGAATGTTTTTCAGTGCAACCAGTGTAATCCATCCTATTTCCATATGAATGACTCATACAGTGGGGAAAATATTTATTTGATCTCCTGCTGATTTTTTAAGTTTGCCCACTTACAAAGAAATGAAGGGTCTGTAATTTTTATGGTAGATTTATTTTAACGGATAGAGACAGAATATCAACCAAAAAAATCCAGAAAAAACACATTATATAAAGGTTAGAAATTGATTTGCATTTCAGTGAGTGAAGTAAGTATTTGATTCCCTACCAACCAGCAAGAATTCTGGCTCCCACAGATTGGTTATGTGCCCATGTGGAACACAGATTAGTCCTGTCACTTTAAGAAGTTACTCCTAATGTCAGCTCGTTAGGTGTATAAGACATCTGTCCACACAATCTGTATCTTCCATTCCAACCTCTCCCACCACCATGGGCAAGACCAAAGAGCTGTCAAAGGATGTCAGAGACAAGACTGTAGATCTGCACAAGGCTTGAATGGGCTACAAGACCATCAGCAAGAAGCTTGGTGAGAAGGAGACAACTGTTGGTGCGATTACTCGGAAATGGAAGAAATACAAAACAACCATCAATCGGCCTCGGTCTGGAGCTCCGTGCAAGATCTTGCCTCATGGAGTAAGGATGATCATGAGAAAGGTGAGGGATCAGCCCAGAACTACACGGGAGGAGCTTGATAATGATCTTAAGGCAGTTGGGACCATAGTCACCAAGCAAAACATTGGTATCACACTACGCCGCAATGGACTGATTCTGCAGTAACCTGCAGCGCCCACAAGGTCCCACTGCTCAAAAAGGCACATGTACAGGCCCGTTTAAAGCTTGCCAAAGAACATCTAAATGATTCAGAGAAGGCTTGGGAGAAAGGGCTGTGGTCAGATGAGACCAAAATTGAGCTCTTTGGCATTAACTTGACTCGCCGTGCTCAATCCTATAGAAAATCTGTGGAGGGAGCTGAAACTTCGAGTTGCCAAACGACAGCCAAAAAACCTTAAGGATTTAGAGAGGATCTGTAAAGAGGAGTGGATCAAAATCCCTCCTGAGATGTGTGCAAACCTGGTGACCAACTACAAAAAACGTCTTACCTCTGTGCTTGCCAACAAGGGTTTCTGCACCAAGTACTAAGTCATGTTTTGCTTGGGGATCAAATACTTATTTCACTCACTGAAATGCAAATCAATTTCTAACATTGAGTCAATCATAACTATACAGTGCGGGTCATTCATCTGGGAAATCCGACTACACTGGTCACACTTATTTAGATTCACTAAAAAATAATTGACTCATAGTACTGATTTGTACAGGAATAGGATGGATTACACTTGTCACGCTTTAAAAAGAACCGACTTATAAGATTGACTCATTCAGGAATGGGATGGACTACACTGGTCGTGCTGTGTTTATGTTGGTTGCCATCTAGCAAGGGGTTACTTAGAATAAGCTGCAAAGTAGACCTGACTTTATTGTAATGTGACACCACCCTGTTTTTGACCCTAAACCAGGCAGCATCTTTAAGACATCTATATGTAAATTACATCTGTTATGTTGGCTGTTATATTATGGCTAACCTCTTTGCATTTGAAATAAGAAATTCACTGCAAGGTGCTGAATACTGAAAAGGTGTTGATTTGTCGATGAAATATAGGTGGTCATATCAGTTAATGTGCTCATCGACACTATTATACATTCTGAATTATCCGTTTTTGCAGCTTAGTTTTCATATATGGACTAGATTTAAACTACCATTCAAACGTTTTGAGTTAATAAAAATAAAAAAACTCGGTTACATTTTATTTTAATGTGTCCTTGTTACTGTGTAATTCTACATTTAAGTACTTAGTAATATTAATTAACTACATGTACTTGCTATATGGTTAGGTTTAGGGTTAGGGTTACTTGCATGTAATTATGCATAATTTATTGTTATTATAATAATAATAAGTACATGTAATGTGTAACAAGGACACCTTTAAATAAAGTGTTACCTAATACTTTTATTCAGCAAGGATGCATTAAATTGATCGAGATTGACAATAAAGACTTTTATGTTTTTAAGATTTCCATTTTAAACAAATGCGGTTCTGAAAATTATTACTGATTACTGAATTACATTGTAAAATATTAACATTTTAAACTGTAATATTATTTCACAATATTACTGTTTTTACGGCATCTAAAAAAAGGTAGCCTTGGTGAGCATAAGAGACTTCTTTCAGCAATGTCCCCTTTAACACACAACGCCGTTCACAAGATGGAGAAATGGCAGAAAATCAAGCTGTGAATCCCTGTGCTTGCAGAAAACATGGTCCTACGTGTGTGCATGCATGCATGCATAATTATGTTTCTGATTCTCACCATGTTGTTTTGTCTCTGCTGGTCCTCCATCAGTATGACCTGACTGACGGAGGGCAAGCCCACCACCACAGACTGAGGCAGAAAGAGAGGGACAGAGAGGAGGAGACCAGGAGGGTTTAGAACAGCATGCACATTCCATCTCAAGCCGAGGAGAAATACAAACAGGGTGAGTGCACAGGGCCAGAGACAGAGAGAGTGCAGGGCAGGGGAGAGAGGAGAGGGGGAAGCACTGCTGCTTTACCTGCTGTTGCACGTTGCCATGCGTAACGGGGATGGGGCCCGGCGGTCTGTTGAGGAAGTTCTGATTGGGTGGGACCTGTCCAGGTTGCATCTGAACAGCATTGTTCATCTGAGAAAACAGACAAGCAATGGATTAATGACAGAATTAAAGAACAAAGCACAAAAATAGCACAATTAAAACACGCGCACACTTTAAGCAAATTTTTTGGTTGTTTCAAAAAGTGTCCCAAAATGCTGTTCTTTTCATGAAGGTATATTTGTGTGCAAGTATGTTTTCAATATTGTACAGGTTTTTATGCTAGAGTTTGCATGGCATGCACATTTTCAAGCGTGTGACCGTATAATTGATTTTGTATGTATCAAACTCATGTTTGAAAACAATTATTTATTTATTTTTTGTGCAGTGATTTTTGATTTTTAGGTTCAATACAAGATAAGCTCAATCAACAGCACTTGTGGCAAAATGTTGAAAACAATTATTTCAACTCACCTCTTAAAAAAAGAGCCAGGGTTGTGGCAAGCCACTCACAATGGAAGTAAAAGGATTAGGGTTTGTCATATTTACAGCCATTATAGGGTTTTAGGTGTGCCTTTTTTTCATTGAAATGAAGTTGAAAAATAGAACCATACACAGAAAAGGCTAGTGATTTTTTTCACATGAATGTGAAACACACTATTGAAACAGTACTTATTTATTTATTATTATTATTTTTAAAGTGACTATTTTGGTAATCAACATTTTGTCCAGTGATGCAAAAAATGTGAAACAACTGCAGATCTGAGGATATGCTTCTTTGAGAATTTATTTTTACAACTACAAACAATTTATATATGATTTAATGATTTAAAGGTGCACTGGCTCTGAAAACAAAACTAACTAGAGACAAGTCTTTAATTAATTAAATATGTAAGGAATTACATTTCTGACAATTATATACAATTTTATTATAAGGTGTTTAAGTAAACACCAATGTATACAAAATGAAATAATAATATTTAATTTAATAACAGTACAGAAATATTTAACAAAATAACATATAGCACTGAGCTGAAGAAAGCATGGGCTGAAACGTCTGTTCTTTGGTCTGTAACCAACTTACATCCAGCTTAATACTGCTATAGTATTATGCTTTTCTATCTTTAAAAAAAAAAACCTACACACATATTAGCTGCTGGAGTCAGCCACAAGATTAGCTGCTATTGTAGTTAAACAAACACATGCAGATCTCAAGAACACCCCTCAATTTCACATCTCCACAGATTTTTTAATAGTTGCATCTCAGCCAAATATTGTCCTAACAAACCATACATCAATGGAAAGTTTATTTATTCATATTTTTGATGATGTATAAATCTCAATTTAAAAAAATTGACCCTTATGACTGGTTTTTGTGGTCCAGGGTCACATATTGTCAAAGTAAAACAGGTTCTTCGTCTCCGGTTTCCTCTAGAATGGCTGGTATGATCCTCAATATTTTGCATGTTGATGCCAACCAGGACATGTGTCAGGGACACATGGATACAATTTGGCAATGTTTACTAACCTTGCATTATATGTTGCAGGTCCTAAAATAGTTACCGATCAGCAGGCATTTGTTTTAAATTGCCAAAGCAATGGGTGTTTTAACTCATAATCAGCACTTAGCAAGTGTTAATTTTAGGTGCCATATGTATTATGTGTGCAACATCAAAGCAAAACCGGAGACAGCTGCTCACAAGGTGCAAGAAACATAACAGGATCAATTTCACTGTTAAATAAACTGTTAAAAAAACATTTGTTCTTTTACGCAAACATTTTACAGGAACAAAAAGATTGTGCTACTTTAGATGTAGATTTCACGTGAGCATTTATATTTACAATTTTACAGTTTTGTGCTGCTCTGTCCATTTCATATCAATAACTGTGTTTGTTTATAGTGAAAACTACACCATTTCACCGTGTGACTCACCGAGCGTTGCTGCTGCACTTGTTTGTGGTTAGTGATAACCTGCCGAATGCCATTGACGAATCCGCTCTGGTCATTAGGGATGAGTCCCATGAAGATCCTCTTCCTAGACGAGTACAGCAGCATCAGCACACGCACCTCACACGGAGCACTGTGGGGGAAGTGCACACAACCAGCCTACACACACACACACACACACAATATAAATCAAACTATTTGCCAATCCACACATCTAGACAGCACACACAACTACAGTGACTGGAGAGCTGCCTGGGCTTGCACGATTATATTTGAAGACAGGATTAAAATTAACTAAGCAGCCGCTTCCCAGACACAGATTGAACCTAAAACTGAATTTAATCAGTGTTAATGGTGATTCACTACTTACAGATCTCTTAGTCTGCGTCAAGGGATCTAGCTCCAGGGTAAAGGTTCATTTCAGAGCCTTTCATTTTCAGTGGAAATGCTAGCTATGTGACTTTATTTATTCGACCTTTTTCATGGCTAAATATGAAAATCTTTCTAACATTCAAAAGCAGAGGAAGAACTCCCCCAAGAGGATGAAGACCATTATTACACACTATCAAATTTTCTTTAGAAGTCTGCAATGGGAAATAGAACCTTAAATATAGTATAAAAATATAGATAAATGCATGGAGAACATAAAAACTTGGCCTATATGAGAAGGTTCTAGCTTGATTATTAATTTTGAACTGACTGATGTTAGAGGAGGAGGTTATGAATATGATTCTGTTATTGTACTCACAAATCCATTGGTCATGATGCGATACAGTCCCTTCAAAGACTCCATATCTTTATTAGTAAACAGAAACTGTACCATACGAGAGTTTCTGAACAGAGGGCCCAGAGTAGTCTATGGAAAGACAACAAGACACAGGAATCATCACTGCATTAATAAACCATGTGACCCAGATGTTTGACCAAACACAATTCAGCACGTATATATGCTGTTTAGGTTGACATGAACAAAAGCCGTTTGAAATCTACATTTTAAAGTTAATGCGAGAGTTTAAATGTATATTTCATGCGATATTTTTGTAATTATAGTATGGTTTTTAACTTAAGTATAATTAAAGTTAGTAATTTGTGCAAAGAATACCGTCTGTAATGAACATTCTACTCATTTGACAATGCATTTTGCATACTGTGTGCATCAGGGAAGTATGCATAGTCCAGCAGGGGGAGTGAAACATAAGTAGAAGGACAACATGAAAGAAGAGCAGGAGGTGATGGTGATGGAGGAGGAGTAGAAGAAGAATTATGAGACAGAAGAGAAAAAGATGATGAGGAAACAGGAGACGAGATGACAATTATGATTTAGGAGAAGAAGAAAAATGGGAGAAAAAAAGAGAAAAAAGATGAAGAAAAGTAGAAATTATGATTTAGGAAGAGGAGAAAAAGTAAGGGAATGAAAAGATGATTGAATGAAAAGAAAAAGATTACGTACAAAAGGAGATGGAGTAAAAAAAGAGGAGATAACAATGGAGTAGAAAAGAAGGAGAAAAATACTGAGAAGAACAAAAAAAAGGGATGATGATACAGGAAAACCAATGAGGGTGAGTGAGAATAAGGAGGAAATGAAAAAGATGGGAACGGAAGAGAAAAAGGACCAGAGAAAAAAGATAATGAAGGAGATAGGCCTGGGCGATAAAACGATATCAATATTTATCGGCGGTACACCTTCTTCGATATCGATAGAAAAAATATTCGATATAGTGCAAGACATAGGCACGTGCTATGAGTGACGCAGACAGCACACACAAACACGAACATGAGTGCTGTGCCTGCCTGTGATGAGGAGATTGTGAATAAAGAATGAATATTAGTCTAATTTAAAATAAACATTTGCATTTGAATGTTAGGTGTGCATCAGGGAGCGTCATCAGTGGAGCGCGAGATGCGGTGATGTAAGTGACGTTGTTGTATTTTAATGTTTTGTTAGTCCAGCCCACGAGATGCGCCGCTGCTGTGTTATGCATTCAGACTATTAGAGAAATATAGAAGCTCAATGCGGAGAAGATCTTGAATGGGTTAAAACCGAAACCAAGCCATTCACAGAACGCATATTCAGCGCATTTTTTAGACGGACAAATACGACCGCTGCAATCGCGTCTCACAGAAGAGATGTATAGAAAGCCATGCAAAGTTAAAACAGTTTAAACTGGAGTTACTTCCTTGCGTTGACAATTTAAATGCGCTGCATTACTTTGCTCATTGCGCCCTCCTGTGGCCTCGGGAGACAATTAGACCTATACAATAAAGACCTATTTAATCTGTACATAAAACATTAGAAATTATATAATTGTTGAATTTTTATTGTGTTTGATTGTTAAAACAAAAAATATTTGTTGTTTGTCTAAATAAATTGTGTTAATTATAAATACAGTGGTTAAATAATAAAAAAAAAAAATCTATTGCTTTTTGTTTTAAAAAAGGTTATAAAAAATGTCAATAATTATTGATACCGAATGATATGAAACATTATATCGTTGATACATTTTTTAGCTATATCGCCCAGCCCTAATATACATTATATCGTTGATAATTTTTTTAGCTATATCACCCAGCCCTAGAAGGAGATAATATAGGAGGAGGAGAACAAGAACAAGAATAATAAAGCATTGCTTCCCTCGCAAGCCCAGTAATGCATCCTGCAGGAAACAACTATATTCACATTTACCAGGAGCTGCTGAGGGATGAGCTGCATGATCAGCTTCTGTGGCCACTGGTCTGTATTTCTGAAACAAAAGAGGGGGTAAAAAAACTTCATCCTCTCTGTTCATCTCTACCATATATTCTACATTATGCAAATATGGGCCAAACGGAGTCACTCACAGATTTTCCCCTTGGCTGACCTGGACCTGGCAGGGCAGGGAGCGCGTAAGTTTTGTGTTGGAGTCCATGGAGGAAGCCTTGGGCTTCTGCGGTGATTGATGGAGACAGAGGGAGAGGTGACAAGGGGAGGGAAAAAAGGAGAGACAGAATAAGATGAAGAGGTTAACATACAGAGTAAAAAGACCTTGCTGGCAGAGATAGATTGTAGGACTTAAGGCAGGAGGTCTCAGAGAAATTTACAACCTGTGTGTGCAACTTCCAGAACAAGAGAGATCGCACTGACTATGGAAGAGCTGCAATGTTATTATGTCAATCAAAACAGTACAACTAATGAGCAAACGGACCATGTTAAGAATATTAGCTGGAACTTAATTTTTTAAAGCGTCATTTAGACCAACTGTTGACGCAGCAACTTATCGATTTTAGAAATATACCAGTTTTGGACAACTTTACTACAACCTTACAGTATCGCTGAAAAAGGACAGTGTGGAGAAAACGCAGGACTCATCTGCAGAACGACAGAGTTGTGGCGCAGAATTACTATTGATTTAATTTACACAGCGCAGCTTGGCAGTATTTGTTTTTGCGAATAGTGTGTGGTGAGCTGTGTGAACTCATCATCCAGATGGCGACTCTACGACAGGCCTCAACAACCGAGCGTGCCGCCGTGCCTGATAAGCGTACATTGGTTTGCTGGCATGTTATTGACCAGATGGTGATAATGGCCATGGCATGTGCGTCTGTGTTTTTGTTTCCTGATCATTTGTGTTGACCCAGTGTCAAAACAAAACATTTCAGTAGTTGATTGTGCGTTTGGGAACATTCGTTGCTGAGATGATCTTGAGGCCATTGTAGAATAGTCAATAGCATTTCATTAATCTAAAATGAAGGCCTCTACCATAAATCAAGCAGAAATCAAGAAACATCATTGATCCCATTACAGTCCGTGCAAATGGCACCCCAGGCACAATACCCACGGGTCACCTAACAATACATCAATAAAAACACGACTAGATAGCTTTACCAGATCAAATCAATCTTTTTCACATGTCTAGAAAAAAAACGACATTTCATCTGAGTCACAGGTGAGTTACGAGAATCTTTCAAAGAGATTAACTGAGATCCCATTTATGTTTCCTTTTCCAGTAGTAAACCACAAACATTATCCATACAATTTTTTTCAATTTTCATTTAGCTTTATTTTTATTTCAGTTTTAGTTTCAGTAATGTTTAAAATAACTATTTATAATTTATCATTTTTAAAATAATATAATAATTTAAAATTATTTTATTTTAGTTAGTTGCCAAAGCAACATTTCTTATTTAACTTATTTCTTATTTAACATTTTATTATTTCAATGAAGAAAACAATTTTTAATTAGTTTACCTAACATTAACAACACTTGCTTGCAAAGCTTTGTTAGCAATGTTTTAGCGACATATTTGGTGACCCTTTAAGGGTTTTACATAATTTTGGGACATTTTCTGTTCTTACTAGTAGTAAACTGTATAGCCCAGAGTAATCACAATTCAGTATACAAATATTACAGAAGCTGGGTTTCCATCCACAAATTTTTATGCAACTTTTTGTATACTGTGTAAAAAATGTGGAAACACCAAGAGAGAAAAAAAATTCAGTATAGTCCAAAAAAAAAATAAAAAATAATCTAATAGAATAAACTGTCACTGATGACTGACTTCTATTACCTTCCAGAACTGTCAGAACGCACACTATCAGAACATGCATAAAGTTTGTTTTGTCTGTGCGCTCTAAATTGTTCAAGAAATGTTCCATTTCTTCTTTTCTCTCAATTTTGTTGTTTTAAACCTGAAAATCTGCCTTGAGAATTGTTTATCCCTCGACATTCCGATTTTTCTACATAAATTAATGCTGCAACTTGTACTGCAACATATCTAATGACATTGTTTTCTTTCTATAAAGCAAGAGATTCCAAGTGAAGTCCTTATGGTTCGTTTTCCAGCAGTAAACCACAAAACCGATCTGAAGAAGACCATTTTTAGTATGCAAATATTGCTATGACGTCACTTTTCTCACCTCCTGCCATTCTAGAACTCCACTCCATGCTACAATCTTATTGGCAACACCTTGCTGTGCCCCAGCTGGAGGTGCAGGTAGAGCTGCCTAAAAAACAAGAATATATTGAAATTGTATGGACTCCAAAGGAGTCCAAATAAGTCAGTATTCACAGAAATACATTTCTCAAGTCTGACCATGCTAGGCTGTGTTGTTGGCGGCGTCTTCTGATTGGTGGGCTGTGGCTGAGGGGCCTGAGGAGGTTGCTGATTGGGTGCAGGTGGACCTTGTGGTGGGACTTGTGGTTGCTGCGGTGGCTGCTGAGGTGGAACTTGTTGCTGCGTTAACATTGGCGGTGACACTGTGGTAACTGTGGATAGGTTGGGTTTACCTCCTGATGTGAGTGATTGGCTGAAGGGAGTATTTTGCATTTGAGGAACTGTGAACAAAACATAAACAACTCAGCAAATGGTGTTTCAAATATGGAAAACATAGTGAAACACGGAACACACAAACACAGCAGAAGATTCAAGAATAAGGGGACACAATTTGACTCACATCGGCTCTTCTGCTGCTGAGTGGCTGCATCTAGCACCTTCTGTGCTGCATCATGGGCCGCGTTTAGAGAGGCCTTCTGTGGCAAGAGAGAGAGTGTATGCAACAGAGGGACAACATTCATGAGGTCTCATAATTAGTGAGCACAGCCTTGCTTGAAAACAAAGCCAGATCCTTCCACCAAATACAAATGCATTCATGCACATCTCATCTACCACTTAGATCTATTCAAATGAGATTATAACAGCAGTTAGTCTCAAGCTTAAGAATCAAAATGAGGCTCTGTATGCTGAAAATTACCAATAATGTGCCTCCAATTAGGCACAGAAAGGTTCAGAATGAGCCGACCGAGATTAGCCTGTTATTGAGAGAAGCGCTCTGATTACTCTACATCACCGAAGCAGTGAGATAGCAGGGTCCAAAATTAACCTTTTACCTCACCTGCCAATGGTTAAGTGAACTGCTCATTAAAACATGCAAATATTTTCGCTGTCCCTGTTTTTCCTTTTTGTCCCCTTTTTCCCTGTGGCAAACCCATTATATACAATTTCTTTGATCTGACTGAGCTTTTCATTAGGCCTATTTGTCTTTATATATTTTTAATGATATATTTTATAAAAGTTTTGATGCGACTACAGCAGACCACATACTAAAATGTTTTACCATTTTTGTATCATTTTAACACCATAAAGCTTTCATATCTCGCAAAAAAATTCCCATCCAAAGTTAAATAAATAAATGGCATAATTTTTAAACAATACCGGCCTATAGTTTTATCATCCGACACCTAAGAAACTAGTTTCGTGAAATGTTTTGCTTGAAAGGAGTTTCATATAAATATATACACTACCCTTCAAAAGTCTGAGGTCAGTAAGACATTTTTATGGTTTTGAAAGTCTCATGTGCTCACCAAGGCTGCATTTATTTAAAGGGGTCATATGATGCGATTTCAAGTTTTCCTTTCTCTTTGGAGTGTTACAAGCTACATATTCTGTTACACCAAATACACAAAATAATGATCTTTAAAAAAGCATCATATGACCCCTTTAATAAAAAAAAATGCAGCAAAAACAGCAATATAATTATATATTTTAAAATTTAAAATATTATCATGTTGCCAAAGCTGAATTTTGAGCAGCCATTACTCCAGGCTTCAGTGTCACGTGATCTTTCAAAAATCATTCTAATTGACTGATTTGGTGATGAAAACAGCTGTGCTGCTTAATGTTGGTCGAACCACGATAGATTAAAAGAATGTTCAAAGAACAGCATTTATTTCGAAACCTTTACAAAATAAATGTGACCCAGGACCACAAAACCAGTCTTAAGTGTCAATTTTTTTCTATTGAGATTTATACATCATCAAGTTGAATAAATAAGCTTTCCATTGATGTATGGTTTGTTAGGATAGGACAATATTTGGCTGAGATACAACTTAATATCCTAATGATTTTTGGCATAAAAGAAAAATCTATAATTTTGACCCATACAATGTTTTTTTGGCTATTGCTACAAATATATCCCAACGACTTAAGACTGGTTTTGTGCTCCAGGGTCACAAATGTCTGTACTTTCACTTTTTAACAATTTAATGAATCCTTGCTGAATACAAGTATTTATTTTGGGGAAAATATTGACCTTAAACAGTAGTGTATATGTAATGAAGTTGTATAATTCTATTAATTCCATTAACACACACCTGGTATGGAAGGGGAGGAGGAGGAGTCTGGGTTACTGAGCCCATAGACAGGGACACTGGTAAAGGCTGAGGTGGCAAGACAGGTTTAAGGGAGACTGTACCAGAACCTCCTCCAGGAGCTACTGGACACACACAGATGTAACAGAAGCATTAATCAGAGCAAATCTAATAATTCAATAACATACTATTTTATTCTCCCATCTGCTGTTCAGCTGCTGACGAAAGCTGTTATCACTGCACATTCACAAACATATCAGGACAAGTGTCTTTCTTACCAGGAAGTGCAATGCCCCTGACTAACACCATGTGAAAGGGGTCTTGACTGTAGTCTGGGTGTGAGGATTCTGGTGCACCTGCTACAGAGGATGCTCTTTCAAAAAGAGATCGAAGCGCTGGAAGTTTCCGTGGAGCGATTACAGAAAAATGGATCCCCCGCTACAGTCAAAAAAATTAATAAAAATAATAATAATTTCATTAATTTCAACTACATATCAGAAACGGACATCAGCTTTCATACATAAATTTGGCAGGACAAAACAGTGAGAAAAAAATAATATAGCACATAATATTGTAGACTATGCTTGTATCAACCAGCATGATCAGCATTAAGGCAAATACAGTATACTGTCTCACCAGGGTTTTGCTATTCTGAGATCAATAGCAGAGAGAATTTTGAATCACTTCGGAAGAATTACTTACTACCGACTATAGAGTAAAAGTCATCGCCTGTTTATTCGTGCTGACGTTTGTAAGACTTCTGTACTGACCTACTTTGTGTGATCACAGGTATTTTAATGGAGGACCACCTGCTGAAACAGATTTTGGAGGAGATGTGAGCTGGACACCTGCTCTTTACATTAGTGCTGTCATTTCGACATCTGATAATCTTTTTGCTTTTTTATAGTATGGTGGCACTCAATATGGACTTGTGGTCTTCAACACAGTGGATTGTGCTCCAGAATCTTACGTCCAGTGCCATGCTCCCACCAGCTCCGCTTTTGAGTTTGTCTCTTGGATTGACAGCATTCAGTAAGGGCTGCTACGATTCCACGATCACGATCAAAAAAATCTAAATATTGAGTAAATCGCCTTTAAAGTTGTCCAAATGAAGTTCTTAGCAATGCATATTACTAATCAAAAATGAAGATTTTTTTACTCAATATTTAGATCAGTGTCTGACAAAAAGAGAATTTAATGCACAATTTAGTAGCTTGCATTTTTGTCTTATTTATGTATTACTTCCACAAAAAATGTTAACCTGAGATCCATAATAATACTCAATACTGCTGCTGCATTGCAGTGAATTCTCTTGTAAAGTGAGCAGGGATGGACGGACCATACAGCGCACTGGATACCTGGTTATATACAAGTGCTTTAAAAGGAAAGAAAAGTTCTGACATGAGGCCCATTTGAGAGAGATGAAGGAGGTAATATGTCATTTTTTCGAGTGATCCTTCTCAATAATTCATTCACAACCTACACTTGTCTATTGTCTTTTCAACCACTTCCAAAGGCGTGAGAGAGATGATCCAATGACTTATATTTATATTTACGCGTAAAGCGAGTGGGATGAAATGAAAGGTTCTAGATGTTGATACTGATTATAATGTATATTGTGGCGAATATTTGCTAGTCTCCACAATGCTTGATTTCACCAGTAGATTTAAATAAGCACATTATTTTACAGGAAATGCACATTTTAAATATTCCTAATGAATGCAATCATTGATAACAATATCATAAATTTACAAAAAAGCAAAAACAATATTACAACAATAGACAATTATAGAATTGTACAATGCATAGTATATAATCAGTGTCACTTGATTTAGTGACAGTTTGCAAGCTATTGTGTCTAACACCGTTCTGTATTTTCAGCAAAGAAGAATTATGAGTATTTCTATGCTGGTGTCACCATTGTCTTGTGCACCAGAACCACCATTTGTTTTTAGTAATTAACTCTAATTACATAAGCACATCAAGACTACTGATGTGTTTTCACTGCAAAATGACACAAATATTTTTATAATATTTGAGTACTCCCAGCAAATTCAGTGACTTAAGGTTGCAAATCTATCATTACAACAGAACTCTGACAAACAGACATATCTGATAAAAAGTAGATCAGTGCAGAGTGACTCACATCACGTATGATCTGGACCAGGCTGTCTGCGGTGCAGCCCGTATAGCTGACGCTCTCCACAGCCGGTAGTAAGTACGGAGGAGAATTACACAGCAACACGCAAACCTTGTGGGTCTGACCACTGCATAGAGAAACAATGAGAACACATATACAGTCAACGGCAGAATTGTGATTCCACAGAACAAGTTAAAGAACTCACATTTGCTCCCTCATCTTTTTGAAGTCGTCAAAGAGCTGCAGGGCCACGGAAAGACCCTCAGCTATGAGACTGCAGCTCTCTGCTCCGCCTCCCATGAATCTGCGCAGAAAGCATCAGTGTAAGAGTTGCAATTCTCAGCATTTAAAACATGAAAATCTTCAAAGCAGACATACGCTCATAACTAACAGCTCATCCAAACAAGCAAAAGCACACTTTTATCTCAGACTTTCTATCGTGGAATCGTAGCAGCACTTACTGAATGCTGTCAATCCAAGAGACAAACTCAAAAGCGGAGCTGGTGGGAGCATGGCACTGGACGTAAGATTCTGGAGCACAATCCACTGTGTTGAAGACCACAAGTCCATATTGAGTGCCACCATACTATAAAAAAGCAAAAAGATTATCAGATGTCGAAATGACAGCACTAATGTAAAGAGCAGGTGTCCAACTCACATCTCCTCCAAAATCTGTTTCAGCAGGTGGTCCTCCATTAAAATACCTGTGATCACACAAAGTAGGTCAGTACAGAAGTCTTACAAACGTCAGCACGAATAAACAGGCGATGACTCTTACTCTATAGTCGGTAGTAAGTAATTCTTCCGAAGTGATTCAAAATACGGACCAAGGTTTGCAGTTCCCTCTATGACAAACACCACATCTGACACCTGATTCAACCCAGACTTGGACGTCGGGTCCATATGGGTCGCCTTGTCTGCAACCAAGACAGGCATAAGTACTTAATATCACACATAACTTTTGCTGTAACTATTCAATAAAAATAGGTATACTAATAATATGTATACTATTATATAATCATTTGTAATATAGAATGAATGGAGTGTACGCCCACTTAACCTTTACTGTGACTTAAGTTTTATATACTGTTTTTTATTATCTATTGTCATGTCTGCTCTAAAAGCAAGAACACCGAACCATGAATGTAACGTTACATACTGGCTGTGTCTAAATGCCTAGAAAAACGCCTACAAAGAGATTTCTGAATGATTCAGTGATTCAGTCCGTGCCAAAGATGCCTGACAGCCTCATTTTGGCTGAGATATTTTCCTCTATTCTCATTCAGTTAAAGAGTAGCTTCATAGAAATATAATGCAAATACAAATAAACATAAAATGTGAACACGTTCACGTTTTACACATACAAGTCTTAGCATGTTTGTTAGCCGTTATCCTCAAATGCTAATTTATCTCGTGTGTCTTACCTGCTAGTATTAGTAGAACTGACTTCTAATAAGAATAAAACGGACTGATACAGTCATTTATCTTGATTATCTAAACCAGCCGTCTTAAGCTGTATTATGAAAGCTTCACATAAACGTTAATGTAGACCGTAACGACAACAGATATCTGAATGTACGCTCGGCAATCGACAATACGGTCTGGTCTTAGATCTGGGAACTGGACTGGGTTGGTGAATCGATTTATGAGTGATCGATTTTTAGGCCAAAAGTACGTCCCTAAAATATAACTGATACACCCATCCATCAGTTTACACCGCTTGTTGTATGGTCGCAGGAGTGCGTAAATGGCCAGTCCATCATCTCTACAACTAAACATAGCCTAGGCATTATTGTGTTTGCATAAGGAAATAAAATGTATGCTTATGAAAGTAATCCATAAATGTAAGCTATATAATAGCCTAATAATAAAGTATGACTATTTTATTATCATCATCATAATGTTTTAATCTTAAATGTATCCTATAGTGTATGTTTTGTTTCTTTATTATTTGGTTTCAATTTCCAGTTTTCTTATGTTTCCTTATTCTTTTTTTTTAATCTTCAATCTTATGTTAGGATACATTATTGTATTTTATGTGTTTTAAGCAGCCTACTTGGTGCTTTTTATATATATATTTTTTAATTGTATCTATTATTATTTAAAATCTTATTGAAACAATCCGTTATTGAAAGGAATGTTATAATTTTAATATTTATTATTATTATTATTATTTGGGACAACGGGCTTTCTAAACTTAAGAGCAAACAGCTAAGTAAACAGTAGATGTCACTAAAGTCAAGCAACCCAAAAAAAAAAAGAAGAAGAAGACCATATACAACTGGATAATACTGTATAGGCCTAACTTTACTATTTTCTTGAGCAATCACATTGTACATGGACTGTCTCTAAATTACTGTCCTATTTATACTTTATGTTACCTAGGCCTACACAGAATCAGTTCAGTCTCTGCTCTGTGCTTCACTGAATATCAGAAAGAAGGAGAGAGGTAAGTTATTGAAGAAAGAATTATGTTTTTAGGTCGGCGTGCAACCAGTTACCTCTCCTTGTTGCTCCTTACTGCAAGAATGTGCATAATTACTCAGACGGCCCCGAGCGACCCAACCTGCTGTCAAATAAGAACAGTGTGCCGCGAGCCAAGTGGCCCTGGGGCTCGCGCGTTCTCTCTCCTTCCAACAATAGAATCTACTCTCCAGCGAGCAACGGAGAGCATCAAGTGCATCATATTTAAAATCTCCCATACAAACAATACTCTGAATCAGTTTAACCCATTTAGAGCTATTCTCTTACAACCCCCGGCTGACTTCCTTTGCTTTTCACGGTCAGTAAACAGAAGAGTGCCCCTAGGGTTAGTTATGATTGTCCGGAACTTAGGACCAGTGTGTGTCCGAATAAGAGATTTTTTTTAGAGATGCATTTTCTGTGCTCTATTCCACATCCATCTCCAGGGAGTTTTCTTTTGTGGAGTGGCACAATTTTGGAGGCTTTAGCTCAGCTTTGTGATCTGGGTGGCTAGATTAGACGGATTTAAGGTGAACACGGGAACTGGAGTAAAGACAAACCCTACTCTTAACTCCATACATTGATTGACAGCATCACATCACTAAAGACTGACTGAATTTCCAGTATAGTAAAAAAAAAAAAGCATAAATAAATTAAATAAATGTTAACTGTAAAAAATGTAATGGGGAATTAGACCTTGTACCTTTTTTGTAATAAGAATTCAGATCTGGAAGTATTATATTGTTGATCTTGGTTTGTATTTTTTTTTTAAGATGTATACTATGTACATACATACACTGATTTGTGGAGTCTGATTTATATATTTAAGTTTTTTTTTTTTTTTTCTTTTAAAGCCATGATATATTGTTGCAGGATTCTTGATGAATAGAAAGGTCAAAAGAACAGTATTTTTTAGAATTTTTCGCTAACAATGTAAAAGTTGGTAACAATGTAAAAGGCCCCTTTTGAACAATTTAATGCATACATCATTAATTTATTTGATTTTTTTAACAGTACTATATAATATTAAGAAGAATATAATTATTCTTAATACATATATTACTATATAATAGTAATAATACATATATATTACTATACAATACATATATATTGCTATATAATAATACATATATTACTATATAATAATACATATATATTACTATATAATAATAATAATAATATAACACACAAACAAACTGGTTTGTTTGACTAGAGACAATTTTCCCAGTTGAACACCACCAGCAGATGGCTTGATTTTAAGTGAATATCTTTCTGTTATTATAATTCAGCAAACAGAGGGAGGGAGAAAAAAAAAACTATTGTAATGAATGAGGTGGCCCATAATTCCTTTTTTATTTGTGCTGCCTGCACACACAAACGTAGATGCTCTTGTGCACCATTATTGAAGATTTATGTTAATTGAAAATGTATCACCTTATAAAATTCATGTTATTTGCCTATAATGTGAAATTTTCTCCCACCGAAAACTGCTGTTGTTTCTTAAGTTCAGCACTTTCGTGTGTGTTTTAATAATACAAAGACATGTCTGAGGTATACTATTCAATTCAGCTATGTACTCTCAGAGAAAATGTACAAAAGCTGTCACTGGGGTAGTACCTTTGTACACCTTACCTAAAGAGTGCATATTAGTACCCTATACATTTTAGTAGGCTACCTTTTGAACGGGTATCACCCCAGTGACAGCTTGTGTACCTTTTTGTCTGAGAGTGTATATAACTATCAACTCTTCTGCATCAGCAGGGCATTTATGTATTCCACTTCAAAATCCCACAAAATGTTGTCTTGTTTCCGGATGTCCGACATTATTCTCTGGAGAGGTGTCCTCCAGGTGGCACTGATTAAAACACGAAGCCTTTACTGGTGCTCTCTGCTGGGAGACAGGAGCCATCTGGAACTCACTCCAGGCGACCAGAGCGCACAGAACACGCCCATATACATACCACCACTATCTGGGTCACTGGGGCTACAATAATACGCCTCCAAGGTACATTTCACAGGGCACAGGTGAGGAAAAACAGGTGCATGTTCACATACACAGACACAACACCAAACACTCATGATTAGACTATTATTCTATTATTTCCCAAAATATTCGCGCCTGTCATTACAGAAATGAATCTCGACCTCGAAATGGATGAATTACTTTCCTTGAGGCTGTGAAAATGAACATAGCATTCTCTATTACAGTCACAGCTATTAGCAGTAATGATAATTGCACCATGTTACTAATTTCACTCGATCATTTTTTTCCCCACAGTGATAAAAACAGCTCTACACCACGCCCGCTCCTCAAGTTTTTCTCTTCTGCTCTCTCTCTCTCTCTCTATCCCCCATCTCTCTTTCAGCTCAGTGAGCCGGGTGAATTATCTTTCTGACTAAATGATTTTTTGCACTGTGGGAACGTTGCCATGGAGACAGCGCTCCCCCGACCCCCACCCCTCAGCGCGCGCGGAATGGGTAGTTGTGAACTGGCGCGTCTTCACCTCCGCTGCGCGCTGCTCACGCTGCTCTCTCGCAGGGCCGATGTGTTGCAGGTGCATACACGTCTCGGTGAGCATGCATGCCGGATCGGTCCACCTCTTCCTCTCGTTTTCTTTCGCTCTTATATTCTCCACACACCCTGCACGGAATCCCTGAAAGGAATGTCCCGGGTTCAGTGCAGGATTTGTGGCATAGCTACTGTTTAATGAATGAGTTAATGAATGGATCAATGAATGAATGGTGAAACACCAAGGAAGTAAATGGATCCGATGGGGCCCTTACGGAAAATAACCATGGTTTTACAAAAAAAAAAAGAAAGAAAGAAAAAAGAAAAACATGGTTACTAATAGATAAACCATAGTAACCACAAATTACCCATGGTTTTGCTAACCATAGTTTAACCATAGTATTTGAAGTAAAACTGTTTATAAAAATGGTAATCAACACACGGTTACTACACAATAAAACAATGGTTAATTTTCGTAAGGGGGACCTTTAAAAGAATAAATAAATAAAGCATAAATAAATTGTAGGTGAAGGAATTTCTAGGTCTAAATCTAGTTGGGAAGTAGGCCTACCCTTACGAAAAAGAAGTTTATTCAAGTGTGCTATTAGTATACTTCTTTTAAACTAAAAATAGGAAAGTATACTTTTAGTCTACTTTTTATGTACTTCTCAGAAATGGGCTTTATGTACTTCTCAGAAATATACCTAAAATGACATTTAAGTATACTTGACTTATACTTATATATATTTGTATATAAATATATTTGAGCTATACTTGTGCTCCTAGAATGCGTGTTTTCATTGTTATACTGTAGAGGGCGCTAGTACACATCTTCTGTACAGAATTTCCAAAAAACACAAGTGAAGAAGAAACCGAAAAAACTATCAGTATACCTATATGTTCACTTTTATTATAGTTGCAGTACAAACTAAACATTTAGATGTAAACTAGTTGTGTACTCAAAGTTTACTACTGTTGTACTTAAAGAATACTTAAAAGAATACTTTTATATACTAGAAAGAGGGTCAATTTAGTCCCAATGAGTATTGAAATAGTACACTTACAAGTATACTACTAGTACACTGATATTTGTATACTTACTACATAAAGTATACTTAAAAATATACTTGAACTTTACTTAAGTATACTTACTAAAATAAACTTGAAGTATACTACTTTTTGGTAAGGGTAGTCATTTTGAACTATTTGCAAATAATAGGCCTATTTTAAAATATGCACACGTGTGCTTTTATTTGCATGCCTAAAATGTCGAAAACGTTTCTTGTCTCGTCACATTCAGTTAGGAATTTCACTAATCACATAAATTATACCACATTTTCAATCCAAATAGGCAATATATATGAGAGAAAAAAGTTGAGTAGTTTACGTCTGGATATTGCTTCCGGTCGTTTAACTTTACTGTCATAGTTGCCAAATATTAATTCGCTTTCATATGTTTTTCGTTAAAACTATTTGTATAATGAATATACATCTTTCCGCGTGCGTCACTTCTGAGCAGCGCATGCGCAACGCTGACCTCATACGTCATCCTCCCGGAGCTGCTTCAGTGTACAACAGTGAGCCCAAGCTACATTAAAGTGATTATTACGTTTTAAATATGGATATTTTTCTTACAAAAACGCATCGATTCACTACAGAAGG